GCCCGCGGCCTTCCACTCCTCGCCGGTGAGCCAACCCTCCCCCGGCAACCTCGTAGGACGAGCCAGCGCCGGATCCAGGCTGCGGCGGGCCCCCATGACATCCCAGCGCCGGATCCAGGCTGCAACGCCTTACGGCGACACCCCACCGCCGGAGCCAGGCCACGGCGGTCCTCCGTAATGCCCCGCTGCCGGAGCCAGGCCGCGGCGGCCTCCCGCGATGCCCAGCTGCCACATCCAGCCGGCGCAGTCTAGGCCAACCACCATGCCGGCGACCTGCTCCACACCGAGCTCGGATCTGGCAGCACCGGCCTCGGATCCGGTCACCATGGTCCCGCCGCCCTTCTCACCTCACTAAGCTCCGTCTCGGCTCCAGTGTTCCCCCGTCAGCCCCACCTTGCCGACCATGAGTCCGGTGGCTCACAGCAGCGGCGCGGCTAGGTAAGCTCCCTTGCTGACTCTGCCCACGGGCGTGCAGTTCTGCCCACACGGGCGTGCTGCTCGACCAACGGGGCCTTGCAGTTCGGCCCACGGCACCGACGGCTTTCGGCGAACTCTCGCTTGGACGGCGGCGCGACGTGCAGTTCAATCGCTTGGGCGAGCTGTTCGGCGGCCGTATGGTTGCGGTGCAGTGTGCCATCGTGCGCAGTTCTGTGGGCGTGAGCGCCTCCCGATGGAGTTGAGCAGCTGGCTCCCTTCCTCCTCTCCGGCGAACACGAGGCCTGGGCAAGCATCCCCTCGGATCCAACTCCGTATTCCCTTCCTCTCCGGTACAAGCAGCGAGCGCCGGTGACTTACAGGAACTGCGGACATGCGACATCGCGGCCACACATCCAAAAAGTGGCACCTCCGTCCTCCGATGAGTACTGGCTCCAGCGTCTGATCTCCCACTCTCCTCCACGAACATGCCGATGTTTCCTGTGAAGCTCGAAGCCGCAAGCGAGAGGTGCTACCTACGGCCAACGCAGTGTTTTTTTTTTTAATCGGCGAGAGGTTCACTTGATGTCTCTGATGCAGTGCGGTTAGAGCGGCTAGTGAATTTTGGAAGTAGTAGACATAGAAATGATTTCCAAATAAGTTCAGCATAGAAATGATTTCTTGCAGTTTAATGCATTTGCAGCTTGGGGACACGCATGTTGCGGTTCAGAACGCTGGGCGTGTGCGTGCTCATGCTATTTTTCCAGTGCCCGGCCCGATGGCAAACTGCTTCTAGTTTGCATTATTGCTCATGCTATTTTTCCAGGGGCTCATATTTTTCCTCCTGCACCCGTTTTTCATATATCTATAGCTCGCTTCGCCTGCATCTGCAGCTGTTGACTTTATTGTTTTATACGGAAGAAGACTATCAACGAAAAAAGAAGGAAAGAAGTGCACTGCAGCCCCTTAGTGGTTCAGCTTGTAGAAAGAGAGAAGAACTCCCCACGGAAAGTTTACTCTCTTTCTTGAATTCAATTTTTTTGTATGTGGGACGATTGGAAAAAGTAGTTCACACCAAATTGTGTAGCAGCTCATTACACCTATGTATGAAGTGCAATTTGTTTGTGTGTCTCAAAAAATCAGTCGACTACATCAACACTTGCAGTGCCTTCGGTCTTCGAATGTCGTTCACTTTTGAGACTGATGTTGTTCACTTGCGTATGAGAAAAAAATGTCCGACAAAACAAATTAATATCTCAAAGAAGCTTGCTTCTATATTAGATGTAGTTCACTCGCTCAGTCACTGTGGTCCGCTTGCTTGGTGAACGCGCGTAAAAAATTAATAAGTATGAAAAAACACAACAAAAACTCATGAGGTTCATTTTTGGTAGTGTTGCGGTTCATTTTCGGGAGTGTTGCGGTCCACTCTCGTTCAAAAAAAAGTTGAAAAAAGACAACAAAAACTTTTGCGAGAAAGTTTATGTCCGACCAAAAGAAATCATGAAGTTCACTTGACTGTTTGCTGTAGTGCGGTTTCCGTTTTGAAGCAGTGCGTTCTTCTGTCCGATAAAAGGTCCACTCGCTTGGTCAACACGCGTAAAAAATTAATAAGTATAAAAAAGGCAACAAGTACTCATGAGGTTCACTTTTGGTAGTGTTACGGTTCACTTTCGGAAGTGTTGTGGTCCACTCTCGTTCGGAAAAAAGTTAAAAAAAAAGACAACAAAAACTTGTGCGAGAAAATTTATGTTTGACAGAAAGAAATCATGAAGTTCACTTGACTGTCTGTTGCAGTGCGGTTTTCAGTTTAAAGCAGTGCGTTTTTTTGTCCGACGACGATTTTGGTGTCACGAAAAAACAATGTCCGCTTTTTGCTAATTTTAAAACTGCTCTTAAACCGTAAGGAATTAGAGAGTGTGTTCTACATGAAAAAGTTGCGTCTCGTTGATATCTTTCCAACGGCATATCATTTGAATCATTTCGACAAACCGGTTTGTAAAAATTTCAAAAAAACGGCCGCTGCCACTCGTCCTCCGCCGCACGATTTTCAAAATTAACTTAAAACCGTAAGCAATCTCAATACCATTCCTACATATGATAGTTGAGCCTTCTCCATAGCTTTCCAACGACGTATTACACGCCTCGTTTCGACAAACGGTTCAAAAACTAGAGCGTAAACAGTACCAAAAATTTGAAAAAATTTGAAAAACAGAATTCTGCGATTTAGTAAATTTGAATCTGCTCTTAAACCGTAATGAATTAGAGAAAGATTTATATATGAAAAAGATGCGCCTCGACGATATCTATCCAACGGCGTATCATTTGCTTCATTCCGATAAGCGGTTTAGAAAAAAACGTGAAAAAATGCTCGCTGCCACTCGTCATCCGCCGCACTATTTTCAAAGCTGCTCTTAAACCGTGTAGAATCTCGAAAAGTGTTCAACATGTCAAAGTTGCGCCTGATCCATAGATTTTCAATGTTATATTACACGCCTCATTCCGATAAACGGTTAAAAAAGTAGAGCGAAAACAATACCGGAAAACACCGCGTGCAATTTTTTTTGACACGAAGTTCACTAGTCTCTGTTGCAGTGCTCGTCGTCAAAATGATGCAGTGCGCTTCTGTTGAGCGTGCAGTGCCGAAGTGGTGTGCAGAATAGTTATTCTGCTAATATTACCAGAATAGACCGTCTATATATATATATGTGTGTGTGTGTGTGTGTG